ACAGTGGAGGATAAAGGATGATCAATGGGAACATCGGCCACAGCCTTTAAAACATTAGTAGGGGCATGTTTCATCTTGTCCCCCATTATCCTTGTATAATTGTTATAAGAAACCCCTATTCCGTATAAATTTCTTTTTAAGAGCTCAGGAATAGAAGGATCTCCTCTGACACAGAAGGAGCTTTCTCACTGGCTTTTCAGTGCTAAATGGACCCAGAGATTATATTCCACATTATTAGTTACATACAGGGTTACTCTGGGTATGTTAAATTCAACTGAAGTGATTAATGCATCTTCCCTTCCCCTTCTTATTTTAGCACACCTGTCATTTCAATTATCGGAACCCTTTAAAGAATATGTGATTATGCTGAAGTCTATGTTATTATGTTGGGATTGGTCGGTTAGATTAGTCCATCCCAAGTATCCCCCATCCATCTAGCTAAAGACTATTTGTTCCCCTTCTTTTGTCCAAACCATGGACTCTGGTGGATAAAGGCAATCTTTTGCATGACAAGACAATATCGGGGTGTTTTCTGTGATAGAGATGCCTCTTATCTCCCATGTCAAGATGAATTTTGTATAGGCTGAAAATAAAACAACAAAACTGTTATCCATAGGACAATCATGATACAAATTTCAACAGCAAGAACATAAAGTTATGTTAGACAGTTAAGCCTTAGAAAATTTGATTTTTTAACAGTGCTTTTTCAGTCACTTTCCACCTTTGGAGGCTGGGCTCCTCTTTCATGGGTTCCCCCGTTGCCTTCTTGAGGTGTGAGGGATGAATCCAGGCAGAAATACCAATGACTTTAACAGCAGTAGGAGTCCAGAAAAATCACGATATAAGGTCCTTTCCGTCTAGGTTCCAGCCGGTCAGTTTTGAAGTGGCTGACTAATACAGCATCTCCAGGCAGGAATAGGTGATCAGGTTGGCAGTACCCAACAGGTTGAGCACCTGAACCTGAGGGAGACTCTTATCCAAAGTTAATAGTAGTCCTTTTAAGGACTCACAGATTGGAGTGGGGCAATCTGGCAACAATCCAGCATGTACCAAGGGATCATGGGAGGAGGTCGCCCATAGACTATTTCACATGGGGTGAACTCTTCTTGGTAGGGGGTGTTAATATTCTCCTCTCACTCTTCTGGTTGTAATGTCCTACGTCATCAGGGTGTTGCGGGTGGCTGCGAACCACCACGTGATCACGCCATCTCCACCTTAAAAAGCCGAACACAGACCCCCACCCTCCCTTTTTCCATTTGCTCTCTGCTGTCTGCTCTGCCCCGCTTCCCTCCCTCCACCAGGCCTGGCTCCTCCTGTCCTATCTCCTCTTCTCTCTAATAAAGCCCATTCTAACTCTGGTAACCATGGCTCGTGACTCTTCCGCCGCTGACCAAACCAGCGCCGTAAATCCTTTCAGGGGGTACACTGGACTCTGAGAAGGCATAAGGCAAGAGGTCAACCCAGCTACCCCCAGTTTCAAGAATGTATTTAGTTGGAATCTCCTTTAAAGTTCTATTCATCCTCTCTACTTTTCCTGAGCTCTGAGGATGATATAGACAACAAAGTTTCCAATTTATGTTAAAAGACTTAGAGAGCAATTAAGATAACTTGGCCAAGAAAGCTCAGTCATTGTCAGACCCCAGAGATATGGGGAGGCCAAATCTGGTAATAATTTCCATTATTAATTTCTTAGCTACCACTTGGGCTGTTTCCATTCAGGGTGGAAAAGACTTAACCAGCCTGTGATGGTATTGACAAAAACCAGCAGGTATTTGTAGCCATACAATCCTGACTTGACTTCCATGAAGTTCATTTCCCAAAATTCACCAGGTGCTGTACCTGACTCCATTGGCCTGGGGGAAGTATGTTCTTTGCATTTACCTGGGCACAGGTCAGGCAGCAGTGTGAATGTTTTGAAGTTTTTCTCTGTGGCCAGGTGGCCAGACATGAAGGGAGATGAGTTCTGACAAGTGCATGGCATGATGTAAGGCGGTTAGGCAGTTTTGGCTCAAACCTTGGCATGCAGATTCTCCAGCAGGCAAGATCCACCATCCGCTGCGGCTCTCCTGAGCCCCCAAGTCAGAATGGCTTGATCTCTGCTGGGTCATACTCAGGAACATCATCAAGACAGAGTAGGGGTTCAGGAACAGCAGACAGTTCCAGAACAGTCTGGGGTTTGGATTCCCCAAGAGCAACCTCTTTGGAAACTTGATCTGCATGGTTGTTACCTTGAGTTTGGGGGCTTTTGTCTTTTGGGTGTCCTGGCCAATGAATAGTGGCCAATTCAGTTGGTAGCCAGATGGCCTCTAGCAACTGGACAATTTCATAATTATTTTTAATAGTCTTTCCCTCTGAGGTGGGTAAACTCCTCTGTTTATATATCTGTCTGTGAACATGAGCCATGGCAAAAGCATATCGGCTGACTGTGTAGATGTTCACCTTTTTTCCTTCAGTCCAGCTCATAGCCTGTGTCAGAGGAATTGCTTCTGCTCCCTGGGAAGATGTGCCCCTGGGCAGATGTGCCCCTAGGCAAAGCTTGTGCCCAAATGAGCTCCTTCTGGGACAGTCACTACCACTGCCCCACATACCTGGATCTTTCTTGAATGAAGCTGCTGCCATCTGTATAGAGATCTGCACCTCCGGTAGTGACAGGAACATCTGTCAAATCAGGTGACATGCCTTGGATGACATTCAGCATCTCCAGGCAGTCGTGGATGGACTCCTCAGGGTCAACATCTGGCAGCAGGGTGGCAGAATTAATGGCCGAGGACTTCAAAATGGAGTCATGCAGGTTCCTCAGGTAGATCTCAAACTCAGGACAAATGGCTGAGGTACCTATTTAACATTATCAAAGCAGACCTGGTCCTCCCAGCAGCTCTCAGTCCCTACCTATTACAGAGTATGGCTGGCATACCCACCCTCTACCCTAAACTTCTCCAGCCCAAGGGCTGGGCTGCCTTTCCCCCAGCTGCCCTTCCCTATATAATCCAGCCATTTGGGATATGTGGTCCTTTTTTTTTTTAACCTTTTTACCCTCTTGGTCTCCTGGTTCTCCCCTCTACCCTGTCCTCACATGACCTGTTTCAGGGTCATGTTCACTCTGGACTCTCCAGATGTCCCTTCCTCTGGTTATGCTCTCCCTCATATCTACAATAAACCTTCTCCTCCACCATACCTAGGAGCAGTCATGTCCTCCCTTCTTATTTCTTTTTTTTTTTTTTCAATTCATGGAACAAATAATCAACCTGCATTTTATTCAATGGCACAATAATTTCTATAGGCTATTTGTCAATAAGTTAAGACATGTCCTTCCCATTATTACTAAGTCTATAATTTCTCATATATAAGGAGTTGCATAGTGTTATGGAGAATTATGACATGCATAAAGTTCTATAATACCATTACCTTGTTGATCTATAGCTCCAGCAGGTGATAAGGAGAAAGGAAGGAAGTATAAGTGATTGACAAGGGAGTAAGGGGTTAATTCCATGAGCTACAGCTTCAGCAGCTGCATTATTTAATAACGGGCTCTGCTTCGGGTGTTTGTTTGTTTGTTTTTTTTTTAGTAGAATTTAAGGGAGAGTCTCCAGAAAGCAACTGAAAGAGCAGAGTCACATCCTCAATAGTGATAGGCAGATAAGACTTTACCCAGCCAGCTGTGGTGCCGCACACCTTTAATCCCAGCACTCAGGAGGCAGAGGCAGGTGGATCTCTGAGTCTGAGGCCAGCCTGGTCTACAGAGTGAGTTCCAGGACAGCCAAGACTACACAGAAAAACTCTGTCTTGGGGGTGGGGGAGGAGGGTACCCAATTAATATGGCCCAAAATTTCAAATTTTGCTCTTTTAGTTTACTTAGCATGAGAGTTAAGCATGTATTTAAGTATTGATTAAATGAGCAAGAGAGAATGCCATCTACATACTGAAGCGCCTCGGGAAACTGAATCAGCACCGACTCGGGTGCTTTATGTCCTCGTTGTGATTGTGTTTCTGTACTAGAAGTTTGGCCCGTTTTAATTTTTCCCCATGTGAAGGGACCACTGATCAATCTATATTGATTTACTCTTGCTTTGAGGGAAAACAAATGAACAGGAAAAAAACTAAGCTCTAGGGCAGCCGAGCCCTGGCTTATGCTCCAGCAGCTTAGGCCCAGCCACCAGTCCTTGGAACTCAGGTGTAGCATCAGACACTGCTCTCTGTATTCAACCGACCCCAGGCAGCTGAAATGGCCATGGGGCCATTTGCAGCCAGAGGGCTCTGAGTTCCAGCCCAACAGCTTTAGAGTCTATTCTGCCTACCCTGCCAAATTGTGTTCAACAGAAAATTCTCTCTCTCTCTCTCTCTCTCTCTCTCTCTCTCTCTCTCTCTCTCTCTCTGACTCCTTTTTTACTTTTTTGTGGAGGGGGTTTTGAAACAGGGTCTCTCTGGCTGTTCCAGAACTACCTCTGTAAACCAGGCTGGCTCGAACTCACAGAGATCTGCCTGCCTCTGTCTCATGAGTGCTGGGATTAAAAGCATGTACCATCCTCCCCACCCCCAACCCAAGCAATACATTATTGTTTTCCAGCTTGCAAAATAATTGACAGGATATTATTATCCCCCTTTTACACTGACTCTGTTCCATTACTTCCTATGAGTTTAAAATTACCAACATCTATGGTTCGTTGTTTAGGAATAAGTTGCAGAACTGTTTCTCTGAATATTTTGAATCTATGGATCTAAAACACAGCTCAAAATTGTATGAAACCCTTTGTCTCAAAGGACATGATTAGAGCTCATGTTTAGTTCCACTCTCCACTTACTGTCTCAAACCCTGTGCTGGGGGCCAGAATTTCCTAATCCCCGACTCCTAGCACCTTTTCTCTTTCACACTGTAACAAAACACTCCACTGGCTTCTCACACTCACACAGCAGCACAATACAGTCTGAGCTCAATCCGTCAAGGCAGAGCTGACTGTGAAAACCAACCTGCCAACTGTGTCTTCTTTCTCTCCCTCCCTCAGAGACCCACACACTGCGCTATGACTTCACAGTCCGGTTTCCGGAGGACTCTTGGGAGCCCCTGTCCCCGATCCTAGTATACGCTGACGATGAGCTCTTCCTGCGCTACAAGGGGGACAGCAGAAGAGCAGAGGCCGTGGGGCCCAAGATCAAGGGACACACAGGAGCTGAGAACTGGGCAAGAAAGACTGAGGACCTGCAGAGAAAGGAGGAGCAACTCAGGAGGATGCTGGCTGCGGCCACAAAGCAGCTGGGCCAGGAGACAGGTGAGTGTGCAGAGCTAGAGGTGTTATGCCCAGATCGTGGAGACCTCCAAAAGACCGCCACGGAGACCAGATCCCACACGTAAGAGCAAAGAGCCTTTATTTTCAAGCTCAGAGCTTGGACTCTGTCTGACGCAGCAGTGAGAGCAGAGAGCCCAGAGCCCAGGTACGGTAGGGTTTTTTGTCATAGCAGAGGTTGGGGTGAGGGGATTTCCAGGGCTCAGGACCCTGATTGGCTGGTATTTGTCTGGGGATATAGGGAATGTTTAGAATGTCAGGTGTTTCCTCTTAGATGCAGGACCCACTGGGTGGGGTCAGCTTATGGCTTTTCCTGGGTCCAGGTGTTACCTGCCAGAAGCTGTGTCTGGGCCTCTAAGCCTGTCATGGCAGCTGTGTGGTCAAGCTGTTTTGGTGCCCCTCACAAGAGTTACAGAGGTCCCATTTATGATTCCTAAGCCCTGATTCTAGGCAAGGCATAGCCAGACTTAATGAAATGATGCAATAATGCTTCCATGGGGCAGAGCACTGGATAGTCTCTTTTAGACCTAAGTCTCAGGGGAGCTAAGGTCAAGGAACAGCAGGGTGACAGGTCCCTGCCTGGGGCAAGCCAGGCCTTCACACCCTCCAGGAAACCTTGGGCTGTGAGCTTCAGGGAAACCAGAGCACTGGAGGCTTCTGGCGCCTGGGCTACGATGGGCAAGACTCCCTCACCTTTGACCAGAAGACTCTCACATGGACAATGACTGTGCCCTCCACCCAGCAGACCAAGGTGTTCTGGAAGACACATGCACCCAGAGCTGATGAATTTAAGACTTTCTTGGAGGACATATGTCCTGCTCAGCTCCAGGGATATCTGGCTTTCTTGAAGAACTTTCCACCGGATACAGGTACTGACTGTCACCAGGGTTGGTTCCCAGCACCCAGGGGAACATTCCTGTGGCCAAGAGGCTCCTCCCATGGTATCTGTGGGTGTCTGGTTCTCACTGGTGTGTATAAGGGTGGCAGAGTCTAAGGTGATGCCTGGAAGGTGGGGTGTAGGGTTTCCTCCAGGGCCACTGCTGGGTCCCTCAGACGGGAAAGGAGGGTTTCCCACACCAGTCCCTGGCAGACAGGAACAAGGGCTCCATCTTCCCGTCAGCCTCTTTCTCTAGGATGTTCTGGGTCCAGAAGGAGAGAAAGCTAGGTATGAACAACTGGGCTTAGGTGGTAAGATGGAGTCATGCTTGTCTGATCAGCGTTAAGACAGGACAGAAGGATCCAGCCACAGAGCTGGACTACAGATTCAAATGCGAGCTACCCAACCCATGTCCCGTGACTGGGATCCTTTGCCTGATGTTCTGCTTTTGTCTGAAAGAGTTAAGTTTTCTGTTTCTTGAGATAAGGCTTCACTACCTAGCCAAGGCTGACTTTGAACTCAGGACCCTGCATCTGCCTCTTGAATGCCGGTATCACAGGTATGCACAGCTCTGCAAGGCCCCTGAAAGGTGATACTTAAAGCTTTCTCCTTGGCTAAGTCTCATGACAAAAAAAAAAAAAAAAAATTATATGAAAAGTGCCCTAGAAATGGGGGTGGGGTGGGGAGATAAGACACTCGTGACCAGTCAAAGCCCTCAAGAGCCAAAGAATTAGAGCCACAGTCTGGTGGTCTGTCCCTGTCTTCCGGAGTGTGTGATACCTGCTTTGTGGTAGAAAGTCAGTCAGATCGCCAGCCATTGGTTGACTAGAGAAGCCCACTATCCCTACAAACTCATCTACACATGTGCTGGAAGGTTGATGCTCTGGCCTCTGACAAGTCTTCTGGCAGATCAGGGCCTGATGCCTGTGAGCTGCCAGGCATCACTGGAGCTGCCTGCCGGCCTCCTCAGTCCTCTTACCACTGGGCCCGGGGTAGAGGCTGGAGGCAAAAGTGCACAGTGTGGCTGTCTACTTTCTGCCCTGCTCATCTCACCTTTCACCAGCTCTTCCTCATCTTCTCCCAGGCCTCCCGGAGGTGAAGGTGACCAACAGGACATACCCAGTGGGCAGGATCACCCTGACATGCTGGGCTTTTAATCTGTATTCTCGTGAGGCCACCCTGGCCTGGCTTCAGGATGGGAAGCAGGCACAGCAGCGTACCTTTGGGCCTGGGACCGTCCTGCCCAGTGGGGACGGCACCTACCAGACCTGGGTGTCCATCTGGGTTCTTCCTGGACAGGAACCAGAGTTCACCTGCCGCCTGAGGCACCAAACCCATGACATCAAGGTCCCTGCTGCCCCTGGTGAGGAAATGGGGCAACCATTCACCTCAGGGGGTAGGAGGCAGGGGCAGGAAGGACCCATAGGACACAATCACCACTCACTTCCTGGTGGGTCCAGGGCATGCTGCTGAGTACATTCATGATGCTGCCATCTCCCAAGCCGCCTCAGCTGTTTCTGCCCTCCCCATTGTGTTGGTGGTGGTGCTGGCCAGAGCCAACTGAAGCCAGAACACAAAGAACAGAAAACTACCGGGTAAGGAGCCCATGTTGGGGGGGTCTGCTTTTTCCTCTCACTTGTGACTAGAGACAGAACTGGTTTGTTTGTTTGTTGTTTTTGTTTTTGTCTTTTCTCTCTCTCTCTCTCTCTCTCTCTCTCTCTCTCTCTCTCTCTCTCTCTCTCTCTCTCTCTTCTTTGCTGCTGAGTTAGCAGGGAAAGCCTTTTCCTGCATCAGGCACATCCCGGAGGCTGCTGAGGAGCCAGGTCAAGCAGAAGAAAGGCAGTGCCAATCAAAACCAAAGAACCCAGCTCTCACAACAAAGGAAACAGAACGTGGTTATTCTGCACCCAAATATGCCTGACCAGGGCCCAGGAACGCAGATCCAAGTCTCCCTAAATGCCATGTTCCAATGCAGTTACTGTCTGATGAATTGTCTATTGTAGTAGAACAAAAAAACCTTCACTCGAGATATTTTTCAAATACATTAATGGAAACATCAGGTGGATGGGTTCCAGCAAAGAGGGTCATGGATCTCCTGACACTCTGGTTGGTGGAAGCTACTGATCCCTTGATACATTTCAAAGGTTTCACCTGCTTATCAAAAGGATAGCAGGTCAGACTCAGAGGTCCACAAGAATGGCCAGAGAGTCTAAAGCTAGCCTCAGGATAAACAGCAATGTTCTAAATCTCCACTGTCAGGGAGTTCTCATCAGTCCATTGGGCTTTAATATTGATGCATCTTTGTGTGTGTGTGTGTGTGTGTGTGTGTGTGTGTGTGTGTGTGTGTAGTATTGTGTGTGGTGTATGTGGGGTTTTTGTGTGTGTGTCTGTGTGTGGTATGTGTATGTGTGTGTGGTGTGTATGTATATGCTGTGTGTGCATATGTGTGTCTGTGTGTGGTGTATGTGTATGGTGTATGTGCATGTGGGTATGTGTGTATATGCAGTGTATGTGTGATGTGTGTGGTACATGTGTGTATGTATGTGTGTGGTGTGTATGTGGTGTATGTGTACACAGTATGTGTGTATGTGTGTGGTGTGTCTGTGTATGTGGTGTGTAAAAAGAGGTAGAGTTTTTCTGTCCTTACCCCTGTCCCCAAATAACCACTTTGAGGCTTATATTAATTTTAAATGCTCAGCCAATAGCTCATGCTTATTACTAACTAGCTCTTACATTTTAAATTAACCCATATTTTTATCTATGCTTTACCAAGTGGCTTGGTACCTTTTCTCAGTACGGCATGTCCATCTCCTGCTCTTCTGCTGGCGACTCCTGACTCTGCCCTTCTCCTTCCCATCATCCTTAGTTTGGTCACCCTGCCTATACTTCCTGCCTGGCTACTGGCCAATCAGCATTTTATTAAACCAATTCGGGTGACAAATCTTTACAGTGTACAAGAGGATTATTCCACAGCATTCCCCCTTTTTGTCTAATTAAAAAAGAAGATTTTTTAACTAACATAGTAAGATTATATACAATGAAACAATTATCAAGTAAGAATTACAGTTACAATATCCAGTCTATTTGTATTTGGCAAAATTAGAGAAAATTCTCTACTATCTATCTTATCTTTGTGAGTCCAAAGTTTTGTACTAATTTATCTTTTATCATAACTAAAGAAAACTATAACTATTACTACCTATTCTTTAACTCCATCAAAGACCCCAGAAGGGTGAAATGTTACCTAATGACAGGGACATCAGGCTGCCTGGACAGACACCCAAAGTTCCTCTGTAACATTGGGTCATCCACCTTTGACCTACAGGCCTAGCATATCTGACAGACTTCCCTGTGAAGCAGAAAATTTTGAAGGACTGTCCCACCTTGTCTTGGCAAAGTTCAGCAGTCACCTTTCTTGCATCCTGCTGGTCCAGTTTGGACAGTAACTGTCAGCAGTTGATGCAAGGGCAGTTTCTTTGCCCACATGGCTAGATGCGTTATAAAGAAAGCAAACTCCATATAGAGTTTTTTCAATGTCCAATATCTTTTCTGAAGTAGATTGGTGCTGCCAGGAGGAGACATGTGTCACTGTCATTAAAGTTTAAGTTCTTAAAACATTTTTTAAAGATTTATTTATTTATTATGTATACAGTGTTCTGCCTGCATGTGTCCCTGCACTCCAGAAGAGGGCACCAGGTCTTACTATAGATGATTGTGAATCACCATGTGGTTGCTGGAAGAGCAGCCAGTGCTCTTAACCTCTGAGCCATCTCTCCAGGCCCTCTTAAAACATTTTAAATGTCATATTCTGTAGGACTTTGAAGCATTCAGATAGATAGATTGCCTATCTATCTGAAATATATCTCTGTGTGACCTTAAAAAAATGACTATTAATATGTATTTCTTAATTACACATTACCTTTTAAATGAGCTATATAAGTACAATATCTTGAATAAGAGTAGAAATATACATATAGCATAATAAAATTAACTTTAAATTTGTATCAATAAGCCAAAATCCATACCAATGTAAAATATGTTAAGATTAATAGTTTTTTATTAAATTAGATTCAATAATCTATCCTTTTAACCTATCATTTCTCTATCTCTCCTTTTTCTTTTCAGAACAAAATCCCTGAATCTAATCTCCTTTGTTCAGCTTTTTTCCTGACCATTACCAATAACCATTTGTAAAGAACCCCCCTAAATGATGCATCTCTCTTGTTCTGTATCCAGAACAGCTTCAACATTGCTAGCTGAGATAATCCAGCCTCATACAATACTCCAACAGAGGTGCTCTGAAATGTTGGATCATCTGGGCCATCTGTTCCCATTAGAGATTTTTTTAGGGGGTCTTCCTCAATCAGACCTGACTTTTCATAACCCAGAATGAATCCACAGCCTTTCATTTTCTATGGAAACAAAAGCATAACCTCTTTCCCAAAGCGACATCTTTTGACTTAAATTTTGAAATCAAGATAATTTTAAAATGTATAGGGGTGTTGGAGGGTGTTGGCTTGGTGTATGATTTGGATGAGGAGATTAACCTAGTCTCTGGGCATCTCTGAGAGCCAACAGTGTTACTTTTACTTTAAGAAAAACACATGCCTGAGCAGGCCATAGGGTTTGAATTTGCTGCATCTTATCATTTTGATATCAGTAGTAACATATTCATCCAATTGGTTGGACCTATGATGGATCAGCCTGACTCCATCTTAAGGATGGAAGCCATTTTGTTATAAGGTCAGAACAAGTTCATTCCTGTGTGCTGCAAAATTAAAGTTGATGGTGGTTTAAGCTGTTCCTTGAATTAGACATGCCCTTCACCCTATGGAGTTTGACTCACACCTTGAATGAATAAGGCACTCTGCCAAATAATTTTTAAATGTTCAGCCAAGTTCCTAAGTAACAAAAATTTCTCTGGAAATCCCCCAACCCTTAAAAAACCCTTACTCTTACAGTTTGGGGGGCCACATACACCCCACTTCCTCCTGTGTCTGATGCTATCTTTTCAAACCCCCGCTTTAGAGATGTCTGACAGAAAACAAAGCTTGCTTAATTTGACCAAAGAATTTTGCTAATTGTCTTTACTCTTGTTCAGAGGGACTAACAATTGGAGGCCCCAGTAAGATCAAGACTCCCAACCCATATTCTGAAGCCAGACCTTCACTCCAGGACTCCAGGACTCCAATGCTGCCTTGGAAGGTACACACCTTGAAGATGTTCCAAGACTCCAAAGAAGGCTTTCATTTTGGCAAATTGTTGTAGTGTAGGAAAAAGAAACCAGGAAGCACCTGTCTGAGGAGGGCTCCATTGGTGAGTCATAGAAGGCATCTCCTTCTATGGCAGCATTTCCCAACCTGTTGGTCTCCACCATCAGAAAACACATATTCCCAATGATCTTAGGAGCTGATGCCTCACTCAGTAGCAAAGTTACAGTTATGAAGTAGCTACAAAAATAAATGTATGGTTGGGGGTTCCTAAGACCATCAGAAATATATGCTTCCTGATGGTCATGACCCACGGCATTGAAAACCTCTGTTCTATGGCATCTGGTGCTGTTTCTGATGGGATCTTGTCTAGGGGACAGAGAGGTACCTGATGAGGTACACAAACTCCTGTCCAGGGCAACAGCACGGCGTCACACTGACCATCTGGCTTTTTGTGCCTTATTCTTGGTACCCTGTGCTTGGTTACATATGTTGTTCATCTCCTGCCCGTGGAATAAAAGCCACTCTGCCCACCTCATTCTTGGATGCTGGGGACCAAGAAGGAACATGGTCAAACCCAGTGAAATGTATGAATGAAGATGGGCACCACATGTTTTGTTTTTGACCAATCTCTTTCAGCTACATGAGAGTGGTACTCTCTGCACTATGTCTAATGGTCTTGATTTTTGCTGACTCTGTCCCTTGAACATTGTGTGTTCTATGGTTTCATTGTTTGCTCTCTTTAACTCTTCTGTTCCTGCCATGCTCTCCTCCGCCTGCCACAGCAGCACCCACTGAAGCCCAGTCAGAGAAAACTTTGTTTTCCCTTCCTGAGTCTGCTGCTGGGTGCTTGCTTTGGGCCCACATGCCTGGCCAGGGCTGGAAAACAGACAGCAAGGACCAGAAGGGCAAGGTGGGAAGCCGGATGAGCAGGCGGTGGAGGCCAGGATCTGGGATCTGCTCCAGCACTTGTGGTTCCCCACAGACTCCCCAAGGGTGGATCCTAGTGGACTGACTGCTACCCTCCTTCCTGCCTCCTTGTCCTAGGAAAACCATGGCCTACAGAATCGGGAGGGACCCAGCAGGGGAAGAAGGAGCAGTGGCCACTTTGGTTGCTTGCCATAGCTGCTTTCTCTGTTCTCAGCTTGCTCTGGTCCCTGAATTCAGTTTTTCAGGGATTCAGGTGTTTTGTTATATCTAGACAATATTGAAATATTGTTTTATGCTGTTCTGTGTAGCTGGAGATTTCTCCAGTCCTGCCCAGCCCCATGGACCCCACAACTGCTTATAAAATAATCACTCAGAAGCTTATATTAATTAAACTGCTTGGCCATTAGCCCAGGCCTATCATTAACTAGTTCTTACACTCAAACTCAGCCCATTTCTGTTAATCTGTATGTCACCACATGTTCCGTGGCTTTACCTGTTGCCTTTACATGCTGCTCCCTGGACGGCAGGCTGGCGTCTCCTGACTCAGCCTTCCTCTTCCCAGAATTCTCCTTTTTGCTTGTCCTTCCTATACTTCATGCCTGGCTACTGGCCAATCAATCAGTATTTTATTTATGCAGAGCAATATCCACAGCAGTTCTGCTTCATTGAAAAGCTGGCTATGGAGTTGGGTTATTGCTCCTGCTTCTTTAAACCCAAACATGCTTATTTAAAAGTTTCCTGTCTGTCCTATGACATGAGATACCAGATTTTGTGACAAAAAAAAAAGGAAGAAGAAGAAAACAGAAAAAAAAATGAAAAAAGCCAGGCAGTAGCGGCTCACACCTTCAGTCCCAGCACTCAGGAGGCAGAGGCAAGTGGATCTCTGAGTTCAAGGCCAGCCTGATCTACAGAGAGAGTTCAAGGACAGTCAGGGCTACACAGAGGAATCCTGTCTAGGGGGATTTAAAAAAAAAAAGAACACAATCAAAAGAAACTCAGAGGAAAATGAGGATTTCAAAAATGCTATCCCACAGGGAACTCTGGAGAAAAGACAGTATCTTAAAGTTTGTCTTGCCTTAAAACAAAAATGACTTTGGTGATATGCACAAGGCATGGAAGCAGTGGTGCTGAGTGTGACTTGATGAACTGTGGGGGGCCTGGCTCAAAAGGCTTCAGAGAAGAGTTTTAGTATGTGACCTAGAGATCGTTCTTGTGATGTTTTGGTGAAGAATGGGGCTGCTTTTTGCCCTTGTCCAAAGATTCTGCCTGAGGCTGAAGTGAAGAGTTTTAAATTCATTCCATGGGCAGAGGAAATCTCAAAGCAGCCTAGTATTGACTCTGTTGTGTGGTTATTAGTGTTAACTCTAATGAAGATTTATAATGAAAAGAATCAAGCCGAGCAGGGTATATTACAAAATGTAAAATTTAAGGAGGAAAGAAACACCAAAAAGTGGAATGGAGCCAAGTCCTGTGTTCAAGGAGATAAACAGACTAAGAAATGGAATAAAGGGAGTGGTAACCTCAGGGCAAGATCCCACCCAGCTAAATTTCCAACTTGTGAAAAGGAATTAAAGAAAAGCTTAGAGCCAGGTGTGATGGTGCACACTTTTAATCCCAGCACTGGGAAGGTAGAGGTGAGCGGATCTCTTGAGGCCAGCCTGGTCTAGCCATTGAAAACAGAAAGTTGGTGAAGATATAATTGACTTGGCAGGTTGGCCATGTGGTTCTGGAGTTAAGGATAGAAGAAAGGGGCTATGGAATTTGCCCTCAAGACTGAGGAAAGCTGCTGAGGCCAGGCATGTGTCAGGGGTTTCCCTGAGTGGAGACCCAGAGAGGCCATTGTGTGATGCTGTGAAGTTGAAGCCTAGATTGCCTTGGAGACCCCAAGATGTTGGAGACACAGAGTTTAGAGTTTGCCCAGCTGGTTTTTGGTCTTGCTTTGGTCCAGTATTTCCTCACTATGCTCCCTTCCCTATGTCTAGGAACAGTATATCTTATGCCATCATATGTTAGAAATTTTACAGGGATTACCTTTAAGAAATTGCATGAGTCTCAGAAGAGACTTTGGACTTAGAAACAAATTTGGAACTGTTATAAACTACGAGGACTTTTGAAGTTGGACTGAATGCATTTTTGCATTATGATATGTCTACAAGCCTTGGGGGCCAGGAAGTAGAAAGTGGTGCTTTGAAAGAAAATAGTCCCCAAAGGGAGTGAAACCATTAGGAGGTGTGGTCTTGTTGGAGGAAGTGTGTCACTGTGGAGATCTAATATATGCTCAAGATACCACCCAGAGTCACAGTCCATTTCCTGTTGTGCTCTCCTCATCAAGATGAAGTCAACACCATGTCTTCCTGCACGCTGCCATCTCTCCACCTGTAAGCAGCCACCTCAGTCAAATGTCCTCCTTTCTAAGAGTTGCCCCGCTCGCTAAGGAAGGGAATGTCTCAGTTGCCTTTAGCCTACTGGCTATGGGTGGGTTAGGACTTCTGTTGGTCTTTTCTGTGTTGAACACACAGATTGCAAGCCCAGCACCACTTTGAGATCTTTGGCAGCAGTTAACTCTGCAGCTCACACACGATTGAGCCTGTTTGATAATGAGTATTCAGAGATGAGTAATGCCTGGGGGGCACTCACCAACCTAAGACAGAGCACCTGTGTGGTCTGGGCAGGCGTCTCCATGACGGGTAAGGTGACCTGCTGACATCCCATGCAACCTAAGTCAGAAGCTCATTTTTTAATAAAAGGGGGACCTGTAAGGTCCTGGCCCCCGTTTTGGGTAACTGTTACCTTGCTTGCTGACCTTGACCTTGATATCCTCCCTATGCTAACTCCCTCTCGGGTTTCACCCTCCTGAATGCTTAAGGGAAGTTCCTTGTCTGTGTATCCTGCATAATGGGCATTAACAGCTTAGATGCAAGATTGTAAAACATCAGTATTGAACTTCTGCCCTCCGGGGTTCTCCCATTGTGCTGTAAGCCTGTATGTAAGACCTCCTCCCTCCTTCAATAAACAGCATTCGGCATTAAAAAAAAAAAAAAAAAAAAAGAAAAAAAAAAAAAAAGAGTTGCCCTGGTCATGGTGTCTCTTCACAACGATAGAACTAAGTAAGACAAGGACTACATGACAGGATGGAAGGCCAGATACTTGGATATGCAGGTGCTGGTTACTCGTAGCAAACTTTGCCATAGCTGAGGACTAGCTTTTTACTGCTGGGTGTAGATGGGGCATCAATGGCCACTGCGTTTCTTGTTCAATTCTACGAGGCCAACAGCACCCCCAGTCTAAACCCCCACCATGGCAAGGTCAGTGATTCTAAGGGCTAATGTTAAAATGATAATGCCAATCAATTTAAAACTGAGTTTGAATCTTAATCTTATAGAAGCTACTAACTTGTTCTAGACTGTTTAAAAAAAAGTAACTAAGGGGGAACTGGGAGAGGTGGGGAAGAGGAAGCTGCAGTCAGGATATATTGTATGAGAGTAGAATAAATTAACTTTTAACTATGGCATGAAGGTTGATAGTCACCTTATAAACGACTAATATGTTCAGAACTATGCTTGTATTCATGCTGGCTACAAACGTAATTTATTTATGGGAACAAATTAAGTTTAGCCTCCTATGTATGTATTCAGAATTAAGCCTTAAACAAATAACTAAAAATACAAAGTTTATTTAAAATCAGGTATACTTAATAGACAGCCCTCAACACTTTTCAAAGATCTGCTGGATATGGCATTTAAAATGTTTAATGAGAAAACTTCCTATGATAGACAGAGATGCTCTAGCTAGCTCCTAGAGATGGCCCCACAGACTCCCAAGAAGACAATGGGGCACAGACCTGACTGTGGTAATGCCTAACCACTGGGAAGAGCTGCCCATGACTGGCCTGCTGCCAAGGCTCTAACCAAACTGTAGAGTTGACGGTCACATTCTGCCTCGTCAAAGCAAGGTCAGTTTTCCCAGGTGCCTCCCCCACAGGAAATTCAGATTTTCCGGACCTGGCAGCTGAAGGTCTATGTTCAATATTGTCCCTTGTGGCAGCCGAAGACTGACCTCTGTCCCCAAAACACTACCACCGGAGCCTAGGGCAACCATCCAGGTAACTGTGTTTGTTGTTTTAGTCAATATGGAGACCATTTGGATTATTCTTCCTGCTATGATTTATCCTCAGATGTCTGATGGTGTTGATGGCTAACTGTAGCTCTATCAGTTTAGCAACAGCTGCCTGGTTAATGCATTTCATATTTGATAATCTGGCCTTGCCTGTCTAGAGCTATTAATTCGCCTGATGAGGAAGGCAAACTCACAGACAGCTTATCCTTGCTAGCAGGCCTCATACTGAGGGGTAAACAGCCTTCAGATGCAACTTTTACTAATTTAGGAACTTGCTTTGTAACAGCAGCTCTCAGTAATCAACCACCTGTGTCTCATGGTAAATGATTGAATCAAAAAAGGATTTAAACTTATGTACATTCTGAGAGACTAAGAAAACATTTTAAAATAAATACAAATTATAAAGGTCTGAGACTATGAAAACTTAAATAAATTATAAAGAGCTAAGTGATAAGTTTTGAATCCTCGGTTGCTGGGTATCTGCCACCACCACTGACATAATAAGCCAAATCAAACTGAGTTAATAAATCCATGTTAATGAACAGGGCAAAGCAATCCTGGGTGACCCTTGGAAAGGCTGGGGAAGAGTCACATGGCCAATATGGCCACCAGGCCTTAAGTAACCTGTAGGCATGGACTTGAGCAGCCCCAGGGAGGGGCTGGCTTTTGGTGGGCTTTGAGGGAGTGGGTAGGGGTCTAGAACAGGTGGGCAGCTCTAAGGGAGGGGCTGCTGTTTGGAGGGCTTTGAGAGAGCAGGTTTGGGGAGAGACAGATGGGGAGGGAAGTCGAAGTGGAGCTTCCACCAGAACACTAAGAAAGAAAAACAGAAATACATACAAATTACTCTACACTGTTATTATACAAAGATTTCAAAGGCTCGGAGTTTTCACGCTGATCAATGGATTTCTAAGAAGCTGGTAAAGCATTGACTACTATTATGAGTCAGAAGCTCAAGATTTTAATTTTCCTTTGGTTGTCTTCTAAATATAGGCTTGAGGAGCTTCTCATCAGGCTAAAAATATCTATAGCCAGCCCTCTGGACAAAAAAGAGTGTTCATGCTTCTCAACCCAAAGCTGTGGCTTTGGCTATGACTCAAAAACATGAGTCTCCTCCAGCAGTTTGACAGACACCATCAACTGCTTTATCTATAGTGAGGATTTCAGTACAGATTCCAAATAGTGGTAAGGCTAATATGTCTAAAACTTTTATCTTATCTAAAAATAATTCCTGTAAGCTCAGGAAGTGGAAGCCAAAGACTCTGCCTCTCACAGATCAAAAGAACCCCAGATAAGTACTCCTGTCAATCAACAGCCTGTCCTGGGGGTGGGGTTCCTTGAGACGCCTCCCCTCCCACAACCACCAGGACTATGGGCCCGTAAGCTCCGAATATAAAAGTTTCCTTTGCGCTCTTTAACTTCTGCCCCCAGTCTGTGTTTGTCTCGGCAAATCCCACTCGGCTGGTGGGCGGCATCAGCTGCGGACTACAAACTGCTCCAAAGGTGAACTACACCACCCAGTCCCAAACCGGCAGCCCTGGACTTGAAAACTGTCTCTTCAGCTGGGTCAGCAAAGCAGATGCCGCTGATGAAAGCTCCACCGCCCTAATCCCCTCTCGGCTTTTGACTGACATTCCAGCCTTCCTGCGCCCTGACAACATCCTGATTTTAGCAGGAAGTAGTGAGGAGAATATATCATCTGTTGTCCTCAACAAAGAGTGGAACGTTAAATCCAAAGGGAACTCCTTGTGTGTGTGTGTGTATGTATATATATATATATATATATATATATATATATATATATATATATATATATATATATAGCTACATATATATAGCCACACATCTATATAGCCATATAGATTATGCCTATTGGCATACCAAACTCCTTCGCTGTCAAAAAAGGTACCTATTAAAACCAAACAGACTGCCTGGCAGTGGCGACACACGCCTTTAATCCCAGCGCTTGGGAGGCAGAGTCAGGCGGATCTCTGTGAGTTCAAGGCCAGTCTGGTTTACAGAGTGAGTGAGTTCCAGGACAGCCAGGGCTACACAGAGAAGCCTGGTCTTGAAAAACCAAACAAAAACAAACAAACAAAACAAAACAAAAAACACAAGTAGACCAAGATCTATCAACTGGTAGACTAGAGTCATTAGCTAAAATAGTTCTCCAATATGATAAAGGCACTTGACCTACTCTTTACAGAACAAAGAGGATGACTTTAAGAAAAATTTATTCTTTCTATGCTAACCAATCAGACATAATTAGAGAGATCCTAGCCATGATAGAAATTCTCTCTCACCAAACAGAAAATGCTAAGGTGCTTGTGGTCCACCGGCATCTCAGCCTGTACAACAGATACAAATGACCAGTCACTATCGAGGATTTGAAAGGGACACATAGACAAGGGGGATGGTGGACCAGCCTGACTCCTTCTTAAGGAGGAAATCATTTTGTTATAAGGCCAGAACAAGTCCATTTCTGTTTGCTGCGAAGTTCAAGTTGAACGTGTTTTAACCTGTTTCTGGAATTTAACATGCTCCCCGCATGGAGTTTGACTCACACCTTGAATGCACCTGAAACGATGTTATGCCAAATCATTTTAAAATGTTCAGCCAAGTTCCCAAGTAACCAAAATTCCTCTGGAAATCCCCCAACCTTTGAAACTTCCCCCTGGTCTTGCAGGTATTTTTGGACTAAACTCTACCTTCTGTTTTTTTTCAAATGCCTACTTTAGGGGGCTAGCCCTGTCTAACAGAAAATACAGCTCGCTTAATTTGGCCAAAGAATTTGGTGATGGTCTTAATTTCATTCAGTGGCATTAATACCTGCTTAATTCTTTTAAATTAGCTGTTGGAGAATTTTGTAAGAATTATGGCTGAAGACACCATACACTTTGGACTGAGGCCTTGGAGGCCCAAGGTTGACCTCTGTTCTTTATACTCATTTACCACATACTTTCATGAGCACCAGCTCACATGCGCGCGTGCGCGCGCACACACACACACACACACACACACACACACACTCACACATACACAAAAAGTAATGCTTCGTTATTATTATGTAATTTTTAACAGAAATGCCCCCAACAGGAGTAATACCCATTAACAGAATTTTTCCCATTGTGGCTATCTGGCAAGTCAGAGCGGTACTTTGTAGGAAAACATAGAAACTTAACATCTGGATAAAACACAAAGTTCAACTTTTTAAAAAAAATTTTAAAAGATATATTTTTTTTAATAGTCTATGTGGGGGGGGGGAGAGGAACGAGAACATGAGTGCAGTCCCCATGGCAGCCAGCAGAGGGTGCTATATCTCCCAGAAGCTTGAGTTATGAGTGATTATGAGCCACCTGATGTGAGTGAAGTCTCTCAAACTCAGGTCCTAGGCAAGAGCAATACATGCCCCTAATCACTGAGCCATCTTGCCACCCCCCTAAACTTCAACTCAATACAAAGACAAAAGACAAAATCCTGTTCTGTGTGGCAGGTTTTTGGAAATGTCTTTCCATCACCTGTTTAACCTTGGGGCATTGAAATTTGATCCTGGGAATGTTTAGTAACCTTTAATTAAAGCCAATTAGTTCCAGCTTAAACTGCCATTATTGCCCCATCAATATATTTCCATTCTAGAACAATCCTTTACTTTAGGACAAACTCATGTGACATGACCTCTGAAAGTTATTTCCTTTCTCTTTCTAAATTTGTATTTTACCAAAAACACATTTTGTATTTTCAATTTTTATGTCTTGTCCTTGCTTGATAGTTTCTTTCTTATTATCATAAAATGTAGAAAGCATTGCTTAATAAAAGTAACTATACTCCAAATGAAAACTCAAGCCTGCCACACTGGTCCAAGCCTTTAATCCCAGCACTCAGGAGGCAGAGACAGGATCTCTGTGAATTCCAGGCCAGCCAGAGCTACACAGTGAGATTCCACTCCCTCCCCGCCCCCTCAAAAAAAAAAAAATCTGTACTATATTTTGAAGTCTCCTGTCTACCTTTCTATAACAATCGTTTCCTTTGATTAAAAAAAAAAAAAAATTTCTTCTGCTTGGAGAGAAAGAGGAAAGAGCCAGAAGGTAAGACCCCATTGCTGAGGACAACACATGACCCTGGTTGCAGGACGTAGAGAACTCAAGTCAGAGCTGATCTGGAGGAGCTCTCCCTGCCGACTAGCTCCCTTAAGGAACTGGGGAATTGTTTACAATGCATCTTGATATTTTAACTGGCCTGTAATAATTGTATTGTTATGCCCAGATCACCGGGACCCCCAAAAGACGGCCACAGAGACCGAATCCCATATGTAAAAGCAAAGCATCTTTATTTTCAAGCCCCAGGGCTTGGTCTCTCTGTCTGTCCAATGCCGCGGTGAGAGCAGAGAGCCCTGAGCTCAGGTGGGGTACAGTTTTTATCATAGCAGAGGGGATTCCCAGGGTTCAGGACCATGATTGGTTGACATTTGTCTAGGGGCACTGGAAATGTTTAGAATGTCAGGTATTTCCCCTTAGATGCAGGCCCTGCCTGGGTGGGGTCCGCTCATGGCTTTTCCTGGGTCTGGCTGTTGCCTGCCAGTAAGCCTGTCACAGAGGCTGTGTCTGGGCCTCTGAGCCCGTCATGGCAGCTGTGTGGTCAAGCTGTTTTGGCACACACACACACACACACACACACACACACACACATACACACAGAGTATGTTTTTATTTTTGAGAAGTGTTTAACGTTTTATTTTGTTTGTTTTTGTTTATTTTTAAGACAAACTCACACAGCACAGCCCAGGTTAGTCTCAAACACGCTACGTAGCAGAGGCTGGCTTCTACCCGTGTGCTGGGATCCAAGGCATGCACCACACCTGACATAAAAGTCATGTTTTCTAGTTACGTCATCCGTTGTAGTCGTTTTCTCACCAAGAGAAGGAGAGCAGGACGATCTCCTCATGGATCTGAAGGTTTTATTGAGCCACCCAGGCCCGGCCAGGAGCATGCCCTCCTGTGATCACGTGTCTAAAGAGGCCCGGAGCTCAGTGAGCAGGGGTTATAGAGGCAAAACCACAAGTTTGATGTATCCCGGTGACGTGGCTGGGATGGCTGTTAGCCAGCATGACAGGATATGAAGTTCAGTAAGGCTAGGGCACAGCTGTGTCGCCATGCAGAACCATGGCCGGTGAGTTAGGGTTCCTGTAATTACCATGCACGCCTGAGGGTCAGGCTGACCTCAGTTTTAGCCGGATGGCGGGTCAGGATTGAGCAAATGTGTTGTTCTTTTTTTTTTTTTCCACTTGAAGTTCTGGCGCTGAGGGTCCATGTCGTGGGGTTTCCCCTAATAGATAGGTTTCCTGGAAGAAAAAAAAAAAAAAAGACTACACTTCCAAGCTTCGGTGCAGCCAGCCAACTCCAGAAGGGAGGGACAATGAGAGCGCATGCGCGCATGCATACACACACACACACACACACACACACACACACACACACACACACACTCCTTGCCGTCATTTCCGCTCCTATACGGGGTCACAGACATCTTTTTCCTGCAGTCGTTCTCTCATCCACCCACTTGGATGGGACTGTGTATGGTTGCCATGAACAAACGGGGTCCGGTCTATGCAGGGTCAGATGCCTCTTTCCGTCTTCCGTCTCTTTTTCAGCCGCCTCAGAAACCTTACACTGATAATCTGGTTTTCATATCACAGTTGCCTGCCTCTGCTTGTATGTTTCCAGGGCCCTTAATGCCCCGGAGGAGCAGCGAAGTTTCCCCCAGTCAGCCTTCACCCAGACGTGCAGAGCTCTGCCAAGGCGCCTTCCTCTGGCCTGCATCACCAGCTACAGAGCATGAAACTGTGGTAAGGAGGCGAGGGGCACTGGGGTGAGGCTAGCGCCAGTGGTCCAGCAGGACCATCACAAACTTGGTCACTTTCTGCATCTTCTCTGCCTTCTCACGCGCTGGCCACACTAATTTTGGCTTCCCTCGAGAATGCAAGCTGGCTTCCAGAACTTCCCACGGTTATAGGCTCCCTCCGAGAACATCAGTAGCTTCACAATACTTTCCACTCTGTCTCCCAACAACAGCCAGACTGATCGCTCAAAGTTGCAAAATCACTCACATGACTCTGTGCCCTAGGAATGAAATGCAAGCCCCGCTCCACACACACCCCAGTTCTTTCCACCCCAACAACTCCTCCAACCTTTTAAAAGTTCCACGCCTGGGGGGGGGGGGTCTCTCCTCTCATCCCCGCCCTTCGCCCTTCGCTCATGGCGGGCCCTCCTCTGGACCTTTCTTCCTGGCTTCTTGAGTTGATTAAGTCAAGCAGGAGAGACTGAAACGTGTGACTTTGGGACACCAGCATAAAACCCAGAAATTTATACAGCTGGTAGTTCCTATTATGATTGTCGCTGTGGTTAGCAGGAGCCAAGTGCTCTGTGTGTAGGACGGGATTGCGGATGGATCACAACAGAACCCCTTCCGGGTTCAGCGGCGGCTTTTGCAAATGCTGGCTAGAAAGCCCGGAGAATGAGGGAAAGCCGCCATCTGGTGGAGAAAAGAGGGAAATATGGGAACCCAGCCCATCAAACGCCCGCCCACCACACCCCTACCTCCCATGAAATCCCAAATAGAAGTCAAAGCTAATACGCTTCCCGGAACCCTGAAACTTGCAGACAACCAGAGTAATTGTGTGAAATATATTTCTTCTTGAAATAGTTACTGGTTTTTTTTTAACTTCTTGTCTCACCCACTAGGATCTGTGAACATCTGAACATCTCGTGTTCAGAGCCCTTGTTCCTCCAACAGGAGGGTGGAACACACGGTAGGTGCTCAGTAAATAATACAGGATGTTGTTTAAATCAGCATTGCCTCCAGCTCAAACCTGAATCTCCCCCACAAAGTAAGGATTCTCTTGAGAACCAGGAAATACGTCTGCCCCAACTTCTGGATCAGACTCAGGACCCGAAGACCCAACGTGGAGAAGCTCCTGTTCAAGCAGCAGTTAACCTCCGTCCAGAACCTGCACAAGCCCCGTTCCTGAAGTAGTGAGCAAGGGGGTCAGGTGAAACCCGAAAGCTCCCTGCTCTCTGGGTCTGGGTGGGACGGCAGGAATGGGGATTTGAACAGTAGGAAGCGTGTGAGCTGTGAGTTAGGAACCGCGGGCAGATTCATCCAAAGACTCCACATTCCTGGACTGAAAATGCTTATGGTTTTTTGTTTGTTTGTTTGGATGTGTATGAGTGTTTTGCCTGCAAGGGTGAGTGTAGGTGCACCACAGGTGTATGCCTGGTGCCCACGAAGTGGAGGACATTGGATCCCCTGGAACTGGGGTTGCAGATGGCTCTGAGCTGCCATGTGGGTGCTGGGAACCAAACCTGGGTCCTCTGCAAGAGCAACAAGTGCTCTTAACTACTGAGCCATCTCCCAATGGGCAGGATTTTTAGCGTGTCCAAGAATTCTTCACCCCCACCAGGACTTTGATGCTCACAGCATAGGGCGTCATTAAAGAAGAAGAAGAACTTTTAAACAGAGGTTGTCTGAGTTACTGAGGGTGACAGGGTGATGGGTAGAAACACCCTGGGAACTACCTGCATGGTGGGGGGCGGGGGGGGGCGGGGAGAGAGTTCCTTTTCTCAATAAAGAGGAAGGAAAACCTACTGCTTATCATAGAAGTTTCCCAGGTGTTGGGGAAGGTGCCTGGTGCCAAATGAGCTTTCCCCTCCCCTCCTCCTGAGCCAACTCCTGAGAGAGAGCTGTGGTTTATGGTAGAAGAACTCCATTCTGTGTTTTTGTTGGAGACAGGGTCTCTTACAGCCCAGACTAGCCTCAGACTCCCTCCACTGCCAGAGATGACTTTGAACTTGTGAGCCTTCTGTGGGTTTGTGATTGCAAGCATGTGTTACATTGCCTGGTTTCTGTGGTTCTAGATCTGATGTGGAAATGTTCTAGTGCTTCTTACAAAAGGCTAGCACTGCGGGCATGAAACCCAGAGCCTTGGACATGATAGGCAGGGGCTCTACCACGGAGCCACACCCCCAGCCCCTCACTGGGGGATTCTAGGCAGGGGCTCTACCACTGAGCCA